TAGGTGAGATCATTTCCGTTAACACACGCTTATCAATACTTGAACACAAGAGCAAGAAATGCATTTCTCTTAATGCATTATCGAAATCATGAGGATTACATTATCCAGTCTTGACTGTAGAATTATGATATGAGTCTACATCTCTTTAATTTTTGTTACTGCAAAAGGAATTTTCTCTCAATTTTATTTCTTTCCTTATTTTTTTTAAAAAAAAAAAGTAATTTGAAGTTTTAAGAACTTTTAATGTACTGTACATATCCAGTATACGACCGATATGATTTTATGTAAACTTTTTAATAAAATTTCTTTTTATAAATTGAATTTATGATAACTCCATTCTGTGGTTAAGCAGGATGAATTTAAATCAGGAGGTTGAAGAATGTAACCGGTGATATGCTGGAGAGTAAACCAAACGAAAAAATAATAATATTGGAATGCTTTCTGTATAATGTTAATGCACTCAAAAATTTCTTTAAAAGGATAATATTACGTATCTCTTTACCAATTTTTAAAAAAAAAAATAGTTTTTACGAATGAATATTCTAACATTCTTTTATCGAAGTTGAAAAATCAGCTAAGACACGAGAAAATGGGGTAAAAAAAAAGTATAATTTATGATGAAATTTTACTATTTCTAAACTCAATAATTAAAAAATCGAAAAATTAATCGTATTAAAACATAATTAATTAACATTAAAATAAATTTTACTCGTTAAGACATTGAAAAAAAAATGTTTATAAATATTAATCATTTAGGCTATAAAATCGTTTAGTTAATATTCTGTAATTGCCAAAAAAAAAAAAATAATAATAAGAGTCGTAGTTCTCTGGCAAGAGGTTTGCAACGATTGAAGTAAATGGAGTGCAAAATAATTTTTCCGCATCTTCTCATAAACGCCACTGTGTTTCATGTCCCATTATATATATACAGTGAAGGCTTATTTCGATTTGTTCGAACTATCGTTCGATAATAGCTTGTCCTCTAGCGTAAAAACAGTTAAAAAAGAATTCTTGGTGGGTTGATAATGCTTGAATGACTCGAGAAACTATAAAGACTCTAATAGTAAAGCAATAGAATCCATCAATATGAAATGGTTATTATTGCTACTCAAACATGCCTGAGATTTTTATTCAACAACGTTTAAAAATATTTTTTTTTAGCGTTGTATGTTAGCTAATAATTTAAAAAAACATTCGTGTAGTAAATTAAATAGTATATTTATTAATCTAGAATATTATAATACGAGTATATACAGTTTTAAATGATCAATTAGAGCATTTTTATATCGAGTATCCAACAATAAGGGTTGTGTTTAGTCGATGGAATGGGACGAATTAAGCTTATTATTTTGATGTTTTTTTTTATTTTTTTAATTTAAAATAAGTTATAATAACAATATTAAAACATATCTATGTACTGTTTTTTCATATTTAAATATGTATATATATAAATAATTAGGATTGCCTCTAGAACTCTTTAGAGTTAAATCACTGAATGAAAATCGATTAAGTACATTATAGGCTAGTTTGGTTATAGCGTTTGACTTGATTAATTACTCTCTTATTAAATTTCATTAATAAACTATTAACGTCTTTAATTTTTAAAGAATGTCACGGATTTATCAAATATCTTAAATATTTTATCACATAAATTAATTAATTTATAAATATTCGAAATTTTCTTTTCTATTTCTTCGTGGATAGAATAATAATTTTATTATTATTATTATTATTAATATCGATTTTTTATATCTCGAAAATCTGTTTCCATCGAAAAGTTTTCTTTTGTTTTCGATTTTCAAGCTTGAAACTACCAAACCGCCTGTTGTTCTGGCTACAGCTCTTATTGTTCGAAAAAAGCAAGTTCCTGTAGAACAATACTGCACAATCTCTTGAGATCACATCTGATGGAGGAACAGAAAGACCATCAACTTTATAAAATCCAACAGTAAAACATTATTTTTACCACAAGTAAAAAAAAAGAAAACATAGATTATTTCCTGAATTCAAGAACTTAAATTAAGATTGACTCTCAAGCATTAAATATAACTTGTCAGGATAGATATATCAAGAAACTCTTTACAGGAAAAAGCTCTTCGTACGGTACACTTCTAATCTAATTCATACTAAAAAAAGTAAAATTAAAACACTAAACAATAATAGGAAAGTAATTTTACTAGTTATTTAGTAGTAGTAGTACTTTCTAGTACTCGATACTTCTAAATTAATTAAGTATTTTATTTACAGATTGAATTTATTGACGTGTGTTTGTGTGTTTTTAAATAATATTAGAATATTATTCGAATCATATACTATAAACACGCTACCGGGACAGGTTCAGAAATCGCATCTATAAGCCATAAAAATGAATGTTATATTCCAGAAAACTTCTGGATAACGTCAAAATATTTTTAAAAATATCGAAAAATCACAATAAATGTATACAATTTATAATTAAAAGATAAATTTTCGTTTATTTATTTAATAAATTTAATTTAAAATATATGTTCACCGCAAATTATTAGTGTCTTGCCCCTGTACATCTTGCTTTTCCTGATAGCAACGGAGCCATGCTGGTCATCGACGTGGGAAAGATTTTTGAATTGAAATCACGTGACTTCCGTTCAAGAGCGGAAATTCGTCTATAGTTAATTGGACCCTCCTTTCCCTAATCTTTTCATATTTGCTCTCGACTTTCACCGTTCTCCAGATTAATGAAGGAAAGACATATAGTAGGATTTTATAGGTCTACAATTTTTTTTTAAATTGCAGCCCAATTATTATTTTTTAATTGAAGAAGAATTAGAAATTGTGTATATTTAATAATGTACACGACAGAAATTTGTTAGAATATTAATATTTATCGATACAAATAGTTCTTTGAAGTTAATAACACTATTAAAGATACATTATACTTGTGTGTTGTTTAAATATATTGATATTATTCGGAGTATATTATTGGCAAACTATCTTTCGTATTGTAATATAAGCAAACATTTTCGATGTTATCAAGTATTACAATTGTCATTAAATTAATCTTATCGTTTCCAGGAATGTTATTGGCATATCAATATCGAGATATTCATATCGTTAGTAATTATGTAATATATAGAAGGCTTTAATAATGCGAAAATTATCATTTATAATTTACTATATATTAATATAAGCATTTTCATAACTTATAACTCGTAAATATTTCAAATTTATTGATATATTTTTTAACATTTATTTATAGATGAATGCTCAATTTTATTTATGAAAGTACAGGCAAAATTTAGCTTTAATAATTTTTAAAAAAAATTATTTAATTATAATTAAGATATATGATTTATAAGACTATTGTAATTAAAATAAATATATTAATTTGGAGAAATGGAATTTTGCCAATATTCTACAGTATCGGNTTATGAATTTCATTTTAATTAAATTTATCTAGAAATTAATTTATAAAATAAAATTTGAAAATAAATTAATAAATTAATTAAAAATGAAATAAATAAATTTTATTTATTTACTTTCTTGCAAAGTAAAATAAGGTAATTGCAATAAAAATAATAAATAAATAAATAAATATATAGTCTACTAAATGTTTCTGTTTTTATATTATTTATCTTATTTTTAATTAAAGATAAAGAAACTTATTGTGGAAAAGAAAAAATAAATTAAATTGAACTATTATTAAAAATTTAAAGTGTTTAAAAAAAATGTAAGAGTAAATTTGATTTTTATACAATTTTAAATTTAGATGATTTAATAATAATCCAGTTTCGTTCTGTTGATTATTCTTTTTAAAAAGAGTTTTTTTTTCCCCCTTTGACTTTTTAAAATTTACTTAATCTAGTCGTTTCTTCTTTTATTATCGTTAAATATTTAAAAATTTTTACTTAAAGAAGAGATTGGCAAATACAGCAACAACATAGATAAAGAAGTTAATTTTTTTTTTTCTTGATCATTCTGAGTTTTTCCTTTGAACAACGATCAAAGAGTAGAATGTTCATTATATAAAAGAAAAAAAATGCGAAGAAACTGGATAGAAAATACTCGGAAATATCAAATTTATGCCATTTAATTCGTGTAGATTAGTGTTTAAAGCTGAAAGATTCAAAGGAATTCTCGATGGTTACAAGTGAATCCGAGTTATGTACCAATGATCAATAAGAGACTCATCATTAGATTCATTCACAAAATTGAACATTGTACTCATTTCCGATCTCATTGATTTATATACTAGTTAATTTCCGGTAATGCCATTAAAACTAGCCTTTGCTGTCTAACCGTTATACTATGTCCTAGTTAGGACAGAAAAGCAATTATTAATCCCTCCTCAGTTAGGATTTTACTATAGAAAATTCACTTTTCTAATAATAAAATCGGAATTGTGGTATTTGTTAACGAACATTGGTCCTCTGGGTTTTGTAATTTCGGTAACGGGTTATATAATCCATGATAAATTTGTCTAATATACAGCAAGCGCCCCATTATGATGTCACAATTTGGACAGATTATACTCCCACTTTGGCTTTTAGTATTATTAAATATATTTAATAATATTAATATTGTTATTATTATAATTCATAATTAAATATATAATTTGTTTAAAAGATGAAATAAAATTATGTAATAGTTACTTATAATAATTGTAATATAATTTCATTTTCTGTTCATTTATAATCCTCGTTTTTTATGGAATAATTGTACAATGTTATATTATTACAGTTTAAGTTATAATTGAATTTGAGTCAATTATATTGTTCCATATAATGGACAGTTTTATAAAATAAATTATGAATTATATTTATCTACAAAGCTGTACAGGGCTAAAATAAGCATAAGGTAAAATCTGTATAATTTGTCTTTAAATATAGTCATTATATCATAAAGCGGATTTTCCCCCCCTCGAAAAAGTNTTTCCAATATAATCATAAGCTGTTTAAAAATCACAAAGCAGTTTAGTTTAAAAAATATATATATATAATCTTTTATTCCTTATCTCTTTGCAGATATCAATTGTTGCTGTCCTTGAAATCTGTGAAAAGAAATAACTTTAGTAGCGGATCTACTGTAACGACATCCGCAGATTTTAAAAATAGATAGAGGACCATCTATAGAGGAAATTTCTGAAGTGACGTCAAGGCTAACATACCCTATTGACAGGCGACAGTTTTGAAGGACGGAAACTGGTCGATAGGGAACTTTACTATATGTTTCTATGGCAACAAACATAAAGTAGATGGTGGAAACTACATAATCTCTCCATGTTCTTATTAATGATTCGGTTAGTAAACAGCTTTTTCTTAATACTTCTATCTTAACTTATGATTCAATATTTAATATTATTTTAAAAAGCATAAATTACGAATATTTTATTTATAATTTTATATAATAAATTAATTATGTCTTATATATGCTATATAACTTTTATGCTTAATTATTAAATTACATAATCACAATTAGATGCAAACTTTTAAAATTAAATCTATGAATTATATATTTAAAATTTCTCAAAGAAATGTTAAAGATTCAGTTAAAATCATTAAAAAATATTTATTAGAACATTTTTTTTAAATGTCTTGTCCACGTAACAATAAATTAAAGACACAAGAATATAGTTTCAAAAAATACTGCATTGTAACAGATAAAAAAAACAACATTTTGTCACCAGGATCACAAAAAATACAGTATTTATCGAATAGAAAACTTTAACGAAAGATCCAAAAGCATTTTGACAACAATAGCTGGACAACAATAAAGCAGAGTCATTGTTAAAAAGGATAGGAGGAGAAATAGATAGCAATAGTCACTAGCTAACACATACTTTTCGTCCACGTGTTTACTTTTCATAGCTGCACACATGTTCGTTCCCATGTTGATAATTCTACTATTTTATAGAACAAAAACATAATTTTTAATTATTTTTTATTAAAAAAATATTTAAAAGAAAAATAAATGCCGTGATATCACGAAAGAGACTATCGAAAAGTTTCACGAAATTCCGTATTAGAGATTATAAGATAATTTATTATAATAAAAATCTTCTTATAAAATTCCCTCCTTTGTAATTTACGAGTTTGGTAATGATTTTTTCAAAAGAAAACTTTACAATAAGAAAATTTTTTATTTGTATTAGTAAATAAGTCTACTCGAAATGTTATTACAGTACAAAAGATACGTATCCTTCAGCTGTTGTATCTCTATCATCATTGAAATGTATTCGATATGTATGCATAAGAAAAATTGAAGAAAGATATTTGATGCTGATCAATCCTCTGATTGAATATTGATGACGATACTATTATAGATCGAAGTAAATAAAAATTCGATAGTTCAGTGCACGAATAGGAAAGACATTTTTGTATCCCACCTAGACGTAGATTGAGTGGTTAAAATAGTAAAATAAGCTGGTTTCTCGTATATTAACGACATTTTGAATATTCTTTAAAAAAGATTTTATCGTCAAATTAAACGAACAAAAAAAAAATCATTTTATTTTTTGTGAACATAACTGTCGTTTTATACGTTTTTTTGGAGGTTTTCCAGTTAATTTACGAACGTCTCAGTCCGGTGATAAAATCAAAATTTGAAGAAAACGGTGACAGTAGCGTAGAAAGTACAACGTAGTATTTTTCGTAAAGGATTTTTCAAGAACATCGTTTCACCAGCGGCCGAATTTTCTACCTTAAAACGATACAAAAGCTTTAGAAGGAAAAGATGCCCGGAAGATAAATTGGCCTTGAAGGACCCTCCAGCTCTTTAGACATAATTCCTGTAGACTTTTTCACTCCAAGACTAGCCAGAGATCTGGTTTAACTTCTCCTTTTTTTATGCCTGCAACTTGAATCTTTACTACCTGAAGAGTTACATTTGTCACGTCATATCACCCACACTGAAAGAACTTCTAGTATAAAAAAAAGAACTTTGTGTACAATAGTTTTTTTTGGGAAAGTGGCCATAGAGTTTGTATCGTTCTATTCCAATAAAATAATCCTATCTTTAGGTAGAAATCTCGTTTCGAGAAAGCAAACGATTTATTCTTAATAGAAGCTTAAAGCAGCAAAGACATAGAAGTGAAACATATCTCTTCAACTTTGTTTTCTTAGGGAAAGTCTTAATGATTAAAATCTGTAATAAGGTTAACAAGCTTTGTAGGTACCAGATATGCTATTGGCAGACGAGCCAAACATTTATCGATAAATGGCCGGAAGGTAAAGAAGACTAAACGAAAGATCTGACAGTTTCTTGACAGTCTGCAAACAAAATATAAGGAATCGAATTTCTACACCCAAAGCTATTTATTATTTTCTGGACCATAAAACAATAATCAAATATTCGAATAGAAAGTTAAATATTATTAATTTGTCTATTCGAATCTATAAAAGCTATTAGCAACGAGCTTATTAAAAATATATGCTCTCGATTTCAAATTACCAGTATCTTCCATCTCTACATCATAATTTTCCTCTTCCGGTCTAGACTTGAAGTTTATATATAATTAATCGGGGTTTTTTGCCTCTAATCTTTCTATATCTGATCTCGATTTTAATTATTTAATACCGTTTTCGAGATTAAGGAAGGACAGACGAACAGACGGATAAACGACGACAGTAGAAATTTATAGGTCTACAATTTTTTCAAATTGCAATCCAATTATTAATTAGTACCTTTGTATGGAGTTTTATGAGAGCTTGCTGATAAAAAGATTCAAACAAATATCTATATATATATATAGTACTTAATCTATATATAAGTAAGTAACTTGGCGAAGAAATTATAATTTTACGGTAGTTGATATTAAGTCTCCTTGCCAACTTTCATCGGAAATTGCCGAATGGAAATTGCGAAAAGTCCACAAATACGCCATTTTCGTCAACGGAAGTGAAGGGAGGAAGAGGAAAAAAAGAGAAAAGATCCCCGGGGCAGAATGAAATCGAAAACAATTTCCACTTTCAGAAACTCAACAAAGAAAATGGCAAGGATAAAAAAGCAGAAAATGGGAAAAGGGGTAGGAAATGTTATTTGCTCGGTATGATGCAATTCTTCACATAGAACCTCTTTCTTTTTAATTTTCTTCTCCACCAGATGGCATCGTCACAAATGCTTTTACTTTTTCTTTGAATACATTAATCGTTATGTTAATAGTGTTTCTTCGAAAAATTCTTTTGTGGAAATTACTCTTTAATCGTTATTTTTCGTCTTGTTTTAATGCCCTAGAAAAAAAGAAAAGAAAAATCTTTTAAATTATCAAATAAAACTATAAATATTTTTGTTGAAAATTTAATTTGGAAGTTACTTAAAATTAAAAAAAAAGAAAGGGGGAAGAAAACAATCACGAAACATTACTTCATTCAATCAATTGTTAAAAAATAAATAAAAACGTCTGGAGACAATGTATATATACATATATATATTGACATGAATATTATTTATACACTTTATACAATAATAATTTATACAGTATAATAAATTTAATTTAAAATATATGCTCTCCATCTCAAATCAATAGTGTCTTGCCCCTGTACATCTTGCTTTTCCTGATAGCAACGGAGCCATGCTGGTCATCGACGTGGGAAAGATTTTTGAATTGAAATCACGTGACTTCCGTTCAAGAGCGGAAATTCGTCTATAGTTAATTGGACCCTCCTTTCCCTAATCTTTTCATATTTGCTCTCGACTTTCACCGTTCTCCAGATTAATGAAGGAAAGACATATAGTAGGATTTTATAGGTCTACAATTTTTTTTTAAATTGCAGCCCAATTATTATTTTTTAATTGAAGAAGAATTAGAAATTGTGTATATTTAATAATGTACACGACAGAAATTTGTTAGAATATTAATATTTATCGATACAAATAGTTCTTTGAAGTTAATAACACTATTAAAGATACATTATACTTGTGTGTTGTTTAAATATATTGATATTATTCGGAGTATATTATTGGCAAACTATCTTTCGTATTGTAATATAAGCAAACATTTTCGATGTTATCAAGTATTACAATTGTCATTAAATTAATCTTATCGTTTCCAGGAATGTTATTGGCATATCAATATCGAGATATTCATATCGTTAGTAATTATGTAATATATAGAAGGCTTTAATAATGCGAAAATTATCATTTATAATTTACTATATATTAATATAAGCATTTTCATAACTTATAACTCGTAAATATTTCAAATTTATTGATATATTTTTTAACATTTATTTATAGATGAATGCTCAATTTTATTTATGAAAGTACAGGCAAAATTTAGCTTTAATAATTTTTAAAAAAAATTATTTAATTATAATTAAGATATATGATTTATAAGACTATTGTAATTAAAATAAATATATTAATTTGGAGAAATGGAATTTTGCCAATATTCTACAGTATCGGATTAACAAAGTATTAAAGTATAATTCCTGTCATTAGGATAATTGTATTTTGTTACATTGGTATTAGTAACAGTAGCACCCTCATTAGTACTAAGGTCTTTTTTTTTTGTCGAGACGAAATGAGGATAACCAGTCGCGAATCAGTTCCACTAATCGACAAACAAAGAGCCTGCTAAAGGAGACTAAAACTTATAACATGACTTTCACGTTGTTCGTGACAAAACTGTGGGATGATTCCAACGGATTTAGAAAAAAAAAAATCTAATTTTTGTCCAAGAACGAACATGAACTAAATGTATTTTTTTTTTTTTTTAAGATAAAGATTTTTTAGTCCGTCATTTTTCTTTCTTAATCTCATTCGCTTCTTCTTTCAAGTTTCTGATGATGTAATTTAAGTGAGTTTTATAATGCAGGGTATTCGATTATGATATTTTTGAATTAAAGTATTATAAAACATTCAATTGAAAAAGTTAAATAAAATCTGTATTATTTATATTTTTATCTTTAAATTAACCTCTTAAAATTACTTCAGAAAGGGATCATATAAAAATCCCCGCATCACTCCTTAAAAGAAGATGATGCAGGGATGTGTAATGTGATCTTCTTCCTCTTTGTTCACTCCATTATTTGATATGCATTCTGAGTTTTTCCCAATGAAAAAATTACAAAGAACTTTATGATTTTCTTTAATTTTCTAAAAATAAAAACAAATAATAATCCACGTTTATATTGTTATATAAACTTTTTAAACGTATCAAATTATTATACACGAATAAAAATTTAATATATATTATAGCAAATTCATTAAAAATTTAAAAAAAGATAACATTCTCTATATGTTATTCTTAATTTTTTAATATGTTTGTCAATAGAATATTCGACTTTTAATTAGAAAGTG